GGCTGCTGGGACGGGGGCAGGAGGGTCTGATCCAGGGAAGCTGCTGCTTTGTTGCAGCAGAAGCCTTGGCCCGGCAAGGCCCAGCTTTGGGGCACCGTCTGAGAGCCTTTTGGTCCCGCTGGGTTTCTTTGCAGTTAGGTTGCTTATTGTGAATTAAAATTGCAGAGCTTCCCCCACCACACACACACACACACACACACACGTTGAAATTAAAATATTAACTTGCTTGCCTTACTTGGGGAGGGTTTTTCATCTTGGGGGATAAAAAGTCTTTTTTTGTCGTTTTTCATTGAGTCCATATTTTTTGCCAGTTTACACCGATGACTAATAAAATGGCCAACCTGGACGGCGACATCAACCACCTTCCCCAGTTCATAAATGCAAAGGCTGTTAGTAACATCCTGACGTGCCCATTACCCTTGGAATTGTGAATCCCGTGTCAAGTCCAATGTGAAATTAGTCTGTGCTTACGGGCTAATGGATTGTGCTTCACGTTGTGTACTACAACACCTAATTCACTCGAGTACATTCTCCTGTGATTGATGGGTCTTTGCTACAGGAAAACAACCAGTAGAAGTTGAGTAGCCATTAATTTCTAAAAAAATGTTCATTACATTTTTGTAACTGAATATGATGGGGCTTTTGTGGCTTCTTGCTTGTGGTGTTTTTATTTAGTAATTTTTTCCCCCACATGGTTTTATGGGACTGTATTTCAGGCACTGGCTGAAAGGAGTTCAGCTGACTTCAGTTCAACCTACTGTGTTCAGTGGACTCTCATACCATACAGTGGAATATCTACCCCAATTAACAGATGCTGCCTAATGAAAGACTAAAACTCATGCACAGAGGGAGGAGAACACATGTTGCCTCACCCTCAAAAGGGAGCAGGTGTTGAGCTTGCTTAGCCAGCAGTATCCGACAGTAAGACTCCCATAACCTGAATTGCAACATAATTTTTTTTTCTTATTTTTATGTAATATTCTCTTTTTAAATGAATTTTCTGCTCACTTTTTTTTTTGCCAGTTTATTAACCCCCTGGAAATTTCAAAAGCCAGTTTTTAGATTTCCTTCCTTGGAAGGCTGTGGAGAAGCAGCCTGTGCATGTGCTGCTGTGATATTTGCAGGTTTCCAGGCCAGGCAGCAGTAACCAGCTTTGATGAGATGAGGAGTAGGTTTTGAAAAGGTCATACACAGATCTTGTATTTACCACTTCCCTTCTGCAGATCTTCTTGTTTACAAATGTTTTAATTAATACTCTAGCAGCTGCTTCTTCAGATACTGATGTGTTACCCTGACTCAACACACAGGTGAAGTGTCACCCAAAGGTTGACATATGGTCAGTGGAAGCATCGTGAAGGCCCTTGGTGCTAAGTACTGGACCACAGCTGATGTCAAAGGCTGGCTTTTCTATCTTGCATATTTAATCTGGGTCCCATTGCTTGGGGAAACTAATCCAAATAACCCCTCAGTTACTGACTTGCATACTCTGTGTCTACCATGATGGGTATATTCCTAATTCATTCATGTGTGTTTACATTTTAGATAAATCAGGTATTTTTACCCAGTTATTCCTGCAGTAATCTTTAGGAACATAATCTTTAAAGTGTAATGTGAAATGATTATTTAATTGGGCGCTTGCAGCAGAACAACTCCTGTTGAAATTTCTGACTGGCTAACCAATTTCCTTGAGCAATATGTTTTTCCACATGATAGATTCTCTTATTTTTCTCAAGAAGATACTGTAATTTTAATTGGAAAGCTTCGACATATTTTGGATCGACACAGAAAAGTCAATTTTTCTTTCATTAAAAATCTTGTACAAATGGATGCAAATAGAAACATAAATGGAAAAGGAGACACTAGCACTGTACTGGCTTTTACTTCAGAATTTGGTTTGTCTGGGCATTTTGTAAAGACTGAAGAGGTGGGGAGTTTGTATATAATAGGTATATTACACATCTGTATTACCTACATATTTTCAGTAAGCTTAGTAATGCAGTCTTCTTTGTGAAGTGTTTTGTGATGCCTTCTTGGGCTTTATCCCCAGCCAGGCCCATTTTAGGTGGGACTTAAACAACATCCAGGTCTCTGCTAGTGTTCAAGAAACAGATGTGCCCAACTGCCACGTTAGGTGTCAGCCTGAAGGCATCCAAGGGTGCTGAGAGAGCTGGCAGAGGTCATTGCTAGGCCACTCTCCATCATCTTTGGTAAGTCATGGGTAACAGGAGAGGTGCCTGAGGACTGGAGGATAGCAAATGTCACACCAGTCTACAAGAAGAGCAAGAAGGAGGACCCGGGTAACTATAGACCAGTCAGCCTCACCTCCATCCCTGGAAAGGTGATGGAACAACTTGTTCTTGGCACTATCTCTAGGCATATCAAGGACATGGGGGTCATCAGGAGCAGTCAGCATGGTTTTATCAAGGGTAAATCATGTTTGACTAACCTCATAGCCTTCTATGAGGAAATTACTAGGTGGATAGATGATGGTAGAGCGGTAGATGTGGTTTATCCTGATTTCAGTAAAGCATTTGACACCGTCTCCCACAGCATCCTTGTACATCAGGTATGGGTTTGATGATGAGGTAGTGAGGTGGATCAAGAACTGGTTGAAAGGAAGGAGTCAGAGAGTTGTAGTCAATGGGGCAGAATCTGGTTGGAGGTGTGTGACTAGTGGAGTCCCTCGGGGTTGGTACTGGGACCTGTGTTGTTCAACATCTTCATCAACGACCTGGATGAGGGTATTGAATGTACCCTCAGCAAGTTTGCTGATGACACTAAGCTGGGAGGAGTGGCTGACACACCGGAGGGCTGTGCTGCCATCCCAAAGGACTTGGACAGGCTGGAGAGTTGGGCAGGGGGAAACCTGATGAAATTCAACAAGGGGAAGTGTAGAGTTTTGCATTTGGGGAAGAACAACACCATGTCCCAGTACAGGTTGGGGGCTGACCTGCTGGAGAGTAGTATAAGTGAAAGAGACCTGGGGGTCCTTGTTGACAGGAGGATGACCATGAGCCAGCAATGTGCCCTTGTGTCTAGGAAGGCCAATGGCATCCTGGGGTGCATTAGAAAGGGTGTGGTTAGTAGGTCAAGAGAGGTTCTCCTCCCCCTCTATTCTGCATTGGTGAGGCCACATCTGGAGTATTGTGTCCAGTTCTGGGCCCCTCAGTTCCAGAAGGACAGGGAACTGCTTGAGAGAGTCCAGCACAGAGCTACAAAGATGATTAAGGGAGTGGAACATCTCCCTGATGAGGAAAGGCTGAGGGAGCTGGGTCTCTTTAGCTTGGAGAAAAGGAGACTGAGGGGTGACCTCATCGATGTTTACAAATATGTAAGGGGTGAGTGTCAGGGAGATGGAGTTAGGCTTTTCTCAGTGATGACCAGTGATAGGACAAGGGGTAATGGGTGCAAACTGGAGCATAGGAAGTTCAAGGTGAATATCCGAAAAAAAATTTTTCCTGGAACAGGCTGCCCAGGGAGGTTGTGGAGTCTCCTTCACTGGAGACATTCAAAACCCACCTGGATGCATTCCTGTGTGATGTGCTCTAGGTGACCCTGCTCTGGCAGGGGGGTTGGTCTAGATGATCTTTCAAGATCCCTTCCAACCCCTAGGATTCTATGATTCTAAACACAAAAATTATGCAGCATTGAATGAGAGGGTTCAGATTAGTTGAGATTGAACTCCTCTGCTGCATTACACATGCAGGTATGCTTTTATGGCCTCTAAGCAATTTTTGTCCAGGAGTGTAGAATCATAGAATAATAGAGTGTGTATAAACTGTACTGGTAGACTTGCCTCTAGCTGGGAATGACACTGGTATAAATGTACATCTGTCCTGGTTTGAGCCAGGATGAAGCCAGGACAGCAACTCTGACAGATACATTTGTTCAAACACATTTTACTTTCCACACCCTGTTAGGGAGGTCCCAGCTCCTAGAGATGATAGAATTCAAGGATGATGACTGGAAACTTGTAAAGAGTTCAGTTTGTTTCCAGCATGATTGGTTAACACTGTTGATACCTAAATTGCTGCTCAATTCAGGCACCTGGCTTGAAACAAATGGAAATGAAAGGGATGTTTCATTTGGACCAGGTCTGTAGTTTTGCACTCTCAGCAATTGTTCATAGGCCATCACACATCCTCTTTTACTCCCTGCTGAGAGGTTACTGTTCCAATATGCCTGTTCTCATAAAGGCAATTTACAGGAATGCCCTTTTATTAGGCAAAATTAGCAGCCTTACCCCAAACTAAATTATTGGTCTCAACTATGTTGGCAATCAGTTACTGCAGTGACTTAACAGGTCCTTATGCATACTGCTTGACTGGCACTTCCATGGGTCAATGATGAGAAGAGCTGATAACATCTTCTAGCACAGCTGGGTACCAAGGACTTCTTTTCACAGCCTCAGTTACGTTTTTCCACTTCCAAAGGCAGGTTCCAGCTACAGGGCTACAAACACAAGCAGTTCATTAAATTAAATCTGGGAAAAGGGAGGATGGTTGAAAGTATGGATGTTTCAAACAGTGGCCAAGGTGGTATGACCTACCTCTAGCTCTGAGCTCCAGTGCTGTTTGTGTGGGTGGCTTCCGTTTCTGATATTCAGTAATATCCTTAATACCATGACCTTGTCTCCAAGCCTTTGCAAAATTTTTGCAAATTTTTTGGAGTTGTAACAACTGAAATGCATCAAAACTAACCAGGGAAGGTCTGTTTCTTTATAAGTGCAGGCACAGCTGATGGATGACTTCCCAGTAGATAGCTGTGATCAGCAGTTGTTTATTTTTCCATTGCTGTTAACCCAAACCTAGACCAAACTCAGAGCATTTACTTTTTAATCAATTGTTAAATGCTGTGTAATGGATAATTATCTTCATATAATTATTGTGTGGTCAGAACATACTTATGATGTAAAAAAAGTGAAGCTGTGTGTTTGTGTCTTTCTTTTTAGTTCATGCAAAGGGGTTTGGATTCACAAACTAAAAAACAACTAGAAGAGGAAGAAAAGAAGATAATAAGTGAAGAACACTGGTATCTTGATTTACCAGATCTGAAGGAGAAAGAGTAAGCTTGTAACCTTTTGTACTTACTGTCATTGGATTGTTGAGGGGTGGGGATAGAACATACATGGGTTTTTTTTCCTATAAAAGAAGTATTATTAATAACCAATTAGAATCATAGAATCATTAAGGTTGGAAGGGACCTTAAAGATCATCTAGTTCCAACCCCCCTGCCATGAGCAGGGAACCCCAGCACTAGATCAGGTTGCACAAAACCTCGTCCAACCTCGCCTTAAAAACCTCCAGGGATGGGGCATCAACAACCTCCCTGGGCAACCAATTCCAGCTCCTCACCATCCTTAGAGTGAAGAATTTCTTCCTAATATCTAACCTAAATCTCCCTCAGTTTAACACCATTACCACTTGTCCTATCACTATCTTCTCTGATGAAAAGCCCCTCCTCAGCTTTCCTGTAGCCCCTTTCAAGTACTTGAAGGTGCTCTAAGGTCTCCCTGGAGCCTTCTCTTCTCTAGGCTGGAGACCCCCAACTCTCTCAGCCTGTCTTCATAGCAGAGCTGCTCCAGACCTTTGATCATCTTGGTGGCCCTTCTCTGGACCCTCTCCAACGGGCCTATATCTTTCTTGTGCTTCAGGTGGGGTCTGACCAGAGCAGAGGGACAGAATCACCTCCCTGGCCCTGCTGGCCACACTTCTTTTGATGCAGCCAAGGATGTAGTTGGCTCTCTGCAATTAACAGAAGCAAAAATAGTGACAGACTGGCATTGCAGCTTCTTTATTATTTATTTTCAGGGACATTCTCAAGGTTGCCTAGTGCAGCTTGACCTACTTTCAGTTCTTGTCTCTGTTGTTTTCTTTCACAGTTTCTTCTAGATGCATGTAATTAGTTTCTTTCAGGCAGGGACCAGTTCATTCACTGCTGCTTTTTCCCTTCATTTGAAAAAAAGAAGTTTGAAACCATGTGTTAGTAAATTCAGGTCCTGTCACACAGTTAGGTCCATTCAGGACAGTTCTGTCTTCTTGAATCCAGCTCACCTCAAATCCTGTTTTTTGAAATAGGAGAGATAATGGCAAAATTAAGGGAAATCTTTGCTAATAAGGAAGATTATGTCCATTGCTGCTATTTAGAAAGGTGCTTTAAAGAGCAAGAGAACTACTTTTAAAATTATTGGATTTTTATCCTTTCCAAAGCAGACAAAAATTCTATTGAAGGAGAACATACATAATTTTTAAAAAGCAGGGATCCAGGGAATTCACTGTACTTGAATAAGGTCATTGATAAACTACTTTCCATTACTGTTGGTGGATATGAGAAAAAGGTATTTGAGCTTCAGTTGCAGAAAGGAAGGTTCAAGCTGGACATTTGGAGAATTTTTCTAACAGTGAGGCTATTGAAGCACTGGAATAGATTGTCTAAGGAGACGCTGGGTTCTTCATCATTGGGAAGTCTTTTGAGGACAGGTCAGATGGACCTCTGCGGTTCACGGTACATGTTTAGCTGATCCTAGCTTGAGGTGGGAGAACGAGCTTAATCTCTTCAGCCTAACTTCCTGTGATCATGGGAGCTTGTTTTACATGGGAGATGAAGAGGATGAGGGAAGAGTTGCATACGTGTGTGAGGAAAAGAGGGATGGAACAATTCACGGAAATACTTTGATCTAACGCGCGTATTCTGAACGCCTCAGGGTCGTGTTTCTTTTCTCACTCCATGCTCATTAAAAGAGGAAAAAAGGGGAAATCTTTCTCTGCTGAACAGAGGATTTACACAGTGTTTTATATCCTGACAGACTCAGCTAATGCCAGGTCTAACATCACAGTGAAAATTAATTAGAAGCTTTTGCTGGTATAGTAATGCCACCTGGAGAGTGATATTTATGTGGTATTTTTATTCTGGCAAAGCATTAATGTAGGTGGAATGTTACCAGCAAAGAGTGCTCTTTGTCTGGAGAGCTAATTTTGCTTCTTGAACTGGCATAGCTTTACTGGTAAAAAGTATTCCTTTGCATCCCAAGTTCCTTGTATTGAAAGATTTATCAGTGCAATTGAGCTTCAGAAAGTAGTTGATGGTTCAGAATACACTGTGGTTCTGCTTGTTTGTGCGTGGGGAAGACAGCAAATGCTTTTTGCATTTGTTTGATTTGGTTATTGCATTTGACAAATGCTGGGTTTGGGGTTTCATGCAGGAGCTTTATAATAGAAGAGAGGAGCTTTATGCCATGTGAGGATCTACTTTATGGCAGAATGTCCTTCAAGGGATTCAATCCAGAAATTGAGGTACTGTTTCCATGTTCTGTTCTGAGGTCGTCTCGGGTTAGGATGAAGCCCCTGGGGACGGGGGTTTGAGTGTTCACACTACATGCTGTTTGGCCTTTGCAATACCTTCCATAAATCCTTCCATGCACAGAAAATCTGTGAGTTGAACAAAATGTTGATCAGTGCAGCAGCATCTGGTAAACAGAAGCTTTTTATCTCCTTGTGTTGATGGTCAGTAATTGCATGACTCCTGCAGATTTTCTCTCCCTGAAGCGAGGAAAGTGTCCCACCTGCTGCTCCCCAAAACAATAGCTCACTTTGCCTCCTGCCATTTAATTTAGAGTCCAGTTCTGCAAATGTTCAACCCTATTTATTCACCACTTCCTTGTATAAGGACTTGGAATTCCAAACTAAAAATTTTGGGTGTGAGTATTTGAATTTCTTTCTGGCATGATTCATGCAATAGAATTATGCTGAAATAGTAAGTAATAAAGATGTTAGCACTGAACTGAAGCAGGAGGATGAAAGTGCAAAGACTGAGAGGAATGCAAAAGGCTATGCAAGGTGATTACTGGAGGATTCTTTCAGTTATTTAACTTGCTCTCACTGTGACTTAGCATATTATTGCTTTATGGTTTTTACAAGTAGTTTATTGTAAATCCTTGCAGATATTTTTCCTTTTTAACAAAACCAGTTCAAGGACTATGTGCTAACATCACAATGAAAAATAAATGATTATCACATTCTCTCTGGTCTCCTGAAGATGTCTGGCATGCCCTTGAGAGTGTTTGAATAGTACAATTCACTGAAAACACTTGTCTCTCTGTTGCCTCTCTTCCCAAAGGGAGACTCTAAGCTCAGCTTAGCAACAGGCAGGCATGTTGCCTTTTTCTGATGAGCTTTCATAACAGTATGCTCTAGCCTGACCAGGGAACACCAACTAATCATGAAACTTGATTCTTATCTTTTATACACTTCTACCTCTGAATTTCTGTAGCTGCTATTGTGTCAGGCTTACATATTTAGGCTGCTTTCTTACTTCATTTTCAGAAGCTAATGATCCAAATGAACTCTAAATGCAAGGAAGAAGTTGTTGAAGTGGATGATAAAATGGAAGCTGATGTGTCAGATGAAGAAATGGCCAGAAGGTAAATTATAGTTATGACATCATCAATATTAGCTAGGAATGTGATCTGATACTGCATTATATATGGGAAAATAAACCCAAAAAGCAAGTACAAAAAAAACCCACAAAACAACCCACACCCAACAGAATTTGTTACTTTATAGAACTAATTTTTGAGGAATTCTAGTGTGTATTCTTTGGTATCTCCGTGACTTTTTGGGGAAAAAAACCCTGTAGGGGTTTTCTGCTCTTTGACATCTAGGCATTCCATGCTAACTCTCCTTTTCCCAGATGGCTAACAACCCCAAACTAGCAAAATGAATGGTAATGTAATAAATGATCATGTAGTACTTGTGCCTGTCAAGTTCCTATGACAGGCTTTTTACATTGCTTAAATTGTTGGTTAGATTTATTATTTGCTCCATTGAAGTTTTCTCTGATTTTAGTAAAAGCTGTATGGTTTTTATTGTATTCACAGATATGAAACATTAGTGGGAACAATAGGGAAGAAATTCTTGAAAAAAAGAGACCAGCGTGTACTCCAGAATGAAGATGAGGATGGGAACACAAGACCTAGCAAGAAAGCTAAGAAGTTCTTAAAACCTCAGGATTAATGTCAGCTGCATAACTGGAGCTAATAGAAATATTATCTACCAAATATAGTATAACAAACTGGAGATTGTTAGGAATTTTTGCTGTGTAAAGTTCTTCTAATGTAAAGGATAGATTTATAAATCTGTCTTTTCTCATTGAAGTGTCTACCATCCACATGACAAACATTTTTGCAAGTGGATGTGTATATAATGGATGTTATACATCCTTTCCTCTCAGTAGCTTTTAATATGTGGGGCATTAATCCCATCAGCCTGTTTTAAATGTTGTGCATAACTAGATGGAGTGTCACATGCAATTGAGAGCAATGTTATTTACTTAGGATAACATCTGAAATAAGTATTTGGAGTTCAAGACAAGCTCTTCCCAATCCAGTAAGACAGTTCAGCTTTCACTGTTGTTTTTTTTATTACAAAAACTAAAACCTTTGCTGTCTTCAAAATTAAAAAAACAGTCAGCAGAAACATGTTGTTTGAGTTTGTTTTTTTACCATGCTAAAAATAAGATGGGAAAAGAGAGAAAAAAAATCCATTTTGTTGAATGTTGTTTTTTATAAGGCCTATTTAAAAATAGATGGGTTTGTAGTAAAACTTTTTTTATATAGAGAAAGCCAAGTATTGGGCAATGCTTACAGTCTGACATTTGAGCAGATTTCGAGTCTTTAGTTTCTGTCTTCCAAAAGAAGTTTGCTAATCTTGTCTCTTTTTCAGCAAAAAAAAAATCCAACCTTATAATTATCTGGGTCTTGTCACAAAAGCATGATAACAGCTTCATAAAACATAACTGAAAGCTGAATAAAAACTGGTGGGTTGGTGTTTTTTAGTGGTTAATGATTGTTGTTTAACTAATTTCATGTAAAAAATTATGCTTGATGCACTCTGATATAAGAAGTGATCCTGTTCTGTGCTGGCTGCAGTTGTCCCCAAATATTAGCTGACTCAATTCTTCCAGTTAGGGTGCAGAGAAGCTGTCTGAAGTCATGTTAGGACAGCAGCATCGTGCCCTTTGGTCAGTCAGAGCTCTGGGCCTGTTGAAAAATGTCGGTGTGGTCTTGTCTAAAATCAGGGCAGGTGTCTGTATCCTGCCTTTCAAAAAGAAATATTTCTTCTTATTACTTCATTTCCCAGTTGTATGTCTTAAGTTACTTAGCCTTAATGCTGACTCTCTGGAGAGAGATGAATTTGTTAAATGGAATCAGGCAGTGGCTGTTCTGTCATGGACACGAGCTGGGGTTTTTTTTCTTAACAACTCAGTGAAGCAAGACATGAAACTCAATTATATAAAGAAAGGGACTGTGTGTCTGCTGTATTTTGTGTGACACATGAACTATAAGCCATACATCAAGAGCACCTCATTAGATATTCAAGATGGATCACACATGGAAAGAGAAATACACTTTTAACCTGGTAAGGGGACCTCATACAGGTGGAAAGTCTTGATTCATGATCTGGGAGAGTTTTTTCAGAGCTAATTAAATGCTACTGGTTCAATTACTTAAAACCTGATCATATATTATTGCTAGCTGAAAAGAAGTTAATGATGGCAAGACATTTTTCTTCCCACAGAAGATGTGACTTGAGCTAAGAAATTATTTATGGCTGGTCATCACAACAAAATATCCCATTATTCTCTCTTGCTTAATAGTGGGAAAATTATTCCCCTTTATCTGAACACATTTCTTCAATGGAGAGAGAATTTCTGCACAGCTCTGCTGGGTGACTTGAGGGGGGAAAAGTGTGTTAAATCACCAGCAACCAGGAGATGTCACTGCAATTGCACCCCCTGAGAGACCGTGGAGCAGGTTCCAGTGGTGTCACATAAAGGAGCTATTGGGTAATTTCGATAATGATTAGTGGTTCAGATGGACTCGAATTAAGCCTTTTGCCATGGTTTTAGCCAATAGCCAGGTAACAGATGCTCTCTGTTATCTCCCCCACTACCCTCCCAACAAGGGAGAGACTTTAAGGGTGGGGGAAAATAAACCAATAGGCTTAGTTATGATGGTGCATTACAAATACATACAAATATGCCAACACAGCACCCAGTTGGTAATTCCCAACCAGACAAGTCCCAAACAGGACTCCAGATGGGGGAGTCCAGGCTCCCAGGGACAGTCCAGAAGAGCCTCTTAAGGAGGTGGAGGAGAGGAAGGAGGTGACCTGCCTCAGTGAATGGTGTTCTCCAGTGGGAAGGCAGGACGCGGGAGCCGTAGAGGGACCGAACAGGGAACCAGAAACAG